AAGAAGAGGTCGCCACCCCCGATGGTAAAGATGAGAAATTGACGGGTTGAACTGCTTCGTGAATATGTGAAAACCAGAGACTGAACCACACAAATAAATCCTTCGCGGTCGCCTCATAGGTGAGGGCTGGAGCGCAAACGCTGAGTTAGCAAATTCTGACAATAATTGCTTCTCAATATGACAGTCTTGTTGGCAGGCCTTCCGGAAGGGAGGACGAAGCCCCGGGGAAAGGCTGCAATGTCAATTCTGTGTGGTCCCGGTCTGATAAATCTTGTGTGCAAACACCATGGTCATTAGGGTTTGTCAATAATGGGGCCGGCAGCCGAACTTCAGTAATTGATACAACGTTGACTGTGTACCAGTAAAATACTATGGTGGATCGAAAATCCGGAACATAGAACAGAGTTTAGAGCATGATAATTGTCTTTCTAGGGTTATCTCCGACGAAAAGTAAAATCTTCGGATCGCTCTAAACATAGTTGGACTGTCAAGTGTAGAACACCAAGGATTCCCAGACGGAGAATATCTTTGATCACCAGTTTTAGCACGGCAAGATGGTTGAGATGGTTTAATAATGATCTCTAAGTCAGTTTCTAGGAGTATTTGGTAGAAGCGATAGTTCTGAGACATTGGTTCGCGCGTATGGATATTCGTCAAGACTGACAAATGGACAATGGACAGCAATCAGTTGTCTTTACGGGCAGATATACATGTGGCTAGGGCGTTTGACTCTGATCCCAAAAAGGTCGCGAGTTCGAGGATCAGGTGGGACAGCATTGGAGTCTGAGTATGACTGGCTGACAACTAAAAAGTCAGAAATGGTCATTGCAGTCTCCTTTTTCGTTGTCGACAATACTATCTGCCTAAACTACCAGCTGCTACGGCTGTCAGGGCCTCTGTCGAGACCCTAGGCAGAGCGGGACAGATGAGTTCCATTAGCGGTCAGGCGAACGTTCATCAAAGAGATATGCATGTTTTTTTCAGAGTGAGGAAGTTGACGTGCAATAGGCATGATGATGACAAATTAAAATGAGCATCCACTCAATGAAAATTACAAAAGGAGCCTTTTTGCTACCTGAAGTTCAATTTCCTGCTGACGCCTCTTCTCATTGATCTGCTCAAAGCGTTTCCACTTGGCAACGCGAATCACCGAGGTTATATCGTCGCCAAAGTTTCGATGACTTTCCAGCGCGAGGTTATGAGCCGTAGTAAGTTTGGCAATTGCTTCATCGTACTGTCCCAGAGCCAGGTGGCATTGACCAGCAAAGAAGAAGGCCTTAAGGTTGCTCGGATCCAGTTCCAGAGCTCGTCTGTACAGAGGGCGCAAATGAGGCAAACACAATGCGATTGCAGGACGAAAAGTAGGCAAGTGTAAAAAAACTGTCAAAACGCAGAAATAACGTCGGCGTCAGGATGTTGTCTAACAAATGCGTGGTAACTTTGCGAAAATTCCCCTTTGTAAATATCAAAAGATAAATTGGCGAGCATACGTTTGCTTTCGATCAATTCTTTTCAGGCCTACGTACATTTACACGGTCATGAAATAAATAAACTAATGGAGATAAAGGACAAACTGCCAACCCAAACCACCTCCATGTGCATCTATTAATTCACCTGCTCCTGTGGGGCAGAATATATTGATCGCACGAGTCGGCGTCTGTCCAAAAGAGTACGAGAACACCCTCCGGCATGGTTAGAGAAGGTCCAAGTTAAGAACATTAAGAGCTCTATTTTAGCGCACATGGTAGACGCGAACCATCGCGTGGATGCCAGAGAGGCTTTCCGAGTGTTCTACAAGGTGCCCTCCAGCTATCAGAAATTACTTGGACAGCGTCTGCTAGCTACAGCAGAAGCAACTGCCATCAGGCTACACAGACCGGTCCTGCGCGCTCAAAAGAACTTTGTAACAGCGCCACAGTTACCATGGACGAAAGCCGCTAACACAACCGCGCATGGCTTATCACCGGCCTCGGAAACGAGTCCCCTCAGAGACGGGTAAGTCACCATTTCAACCGCGCGCACCTTATCACCTGTCTCGGCCGCTCGTCCGCTTAGACCAGGGGTCGGGAACGCATGGCTCGCGAGCCAGGTGTGGCTTTCTTGATAATTGCATCTGGCTCTCTCAAATAAAATTGGAATAAGAAACTTCAGATTTAGTGATTTAGCTTCCTTTAATGACCTGCCACCGCCGAGACGCATGGCGAGATTAATTTAACCCCGACAAATCACGCATCTGGCTCTCTCTGATAAAATATTGTATGGCTCACACAGAAATAAATTTCCAAATATTTGCTTTTTTGGCTCTCTGAGTTACAAAGGTTCCCGGGTAACAGTAGCTTATGTAGCCCCACTCATCAATCCCTACAACCTGCATGTTTTCCAACGAAAGCA